ACAGACGTCTCCTGTAATCACACAGCCAGCCCTCGGTGTGTGTGTGTGTGTCGTATACCCATCTTGCAAAGGGTCTACCTGGGCCATCAGCCAGTGGAAGGCTCCCAGCACAGCCAGGTGCAGCCCACCTTGGGAGTTCAGGTTGCATGAGCAGAGACTGCTGTCCTCAGAGGACTGGAAGGCCCCTGCTTTCAGGGACTTCCCTGGTTCCCCAATAGCCCCCAGTGTCCCCTGCTGACACCTGACCATCAGTTCTGGGTCTCCAGAGCCTCCAGCGCAAAGGCGGCCTTGGGGGTTCCCAAGTGTGTCATGGGTCTCCCAAAGCCAAGACTGGGTGAGGCCTCCCACCACCGCCTGGGAAGTTAGTCTGTACCCACCACCCCTGAGCTGCCAGGCCCCAAGCCTGGGAGTGGGCCAGGCCGTTGGGTCAAGGGAATCTGCCAGGAGGTCCTGTGCTTGTGTACCAGGTGGACAGGAGGGCCCGAGGTTGGAGGGGTCTGGGGTGTCCTGGGGGTGCCTGTGACCCTGGGTATGAGGGGGCTGGTCCTCCCTGCGGCAGGGTGAGTGCGTACACCTTGCACATCAGTTTGGGGGTCTAATGAGCACATATGCTCATGCCTAGAGACAGCGGCTGCAAAAGTAATGCAGCGCGCTGAGATGAAGCTCCCCAGTGGGCCCCGCAGAGCTAGACGGTTAATTATGGGGTGGTTTGACCCAGCACAGTGGCTGCGATCCAGGCATGTCTCTGAGGCTCCTGTGTGTGTTTCATTTTAGAAGCCCCCTGGGAGGTTAATTGTGCGCGGCTGCCTTCCCCAGCTCTCCTCCCAGCACCTGCTTGGGTGCACCTGGAACTCCAGGAGCGGGTCTGGCCAAGAGCTTGGTGAAGAAGGCGAATGGCAGCGGACATAGGCCGCTTAAAGTTCTGATGAAAATATTTTTAAATTAAAAAAAGTGTAAACCCATCTCAGATGAGGGAAGGCAGACTTTCCTCACCTCGTCCACCTCTTGGGGGCCTGTTTCTTTTTTCCTGCCTCCCTTTTGCTTTCAAAAGGCATGAAGGGGTCCAGGGCATCTCACAGGCCCACCTCCCTACTTGGGGCATGGGCAGCCGCACCTGGAGTAGAGGTATGCCATGAGCCCCAGAGGTGTGCCGGCCTGTAGGACGCGGGCCTTCCTCTGCCTGCCGCCTCGTGGGTGCTTGCTGACGTTGTAGAAGATGAGGGATGAGGACTCGTCTAGGGGGCTGAAATCCAGCGTGTCACAGTGGGCCGCCGAGATGTTCACGATCACGGGCAGGGCGCAGGGCTCCAGGCCCCACCGCTCGGCATACATGACCTGTGTGTTGTGGGGGGAAGTGAGCTGCCTTCATCTGGTTGGCCTGAGCCACCAGGTGCTGGCAGGACCGGGTGCTGGGTCACCTGCTACTGACCCGGGGTGGGGGGCAGGGATTTGGGCAGACTTGCCTGCAGATACTTCTTGACCAGTCCCAGGAACTGCACTTTGCACTTCATTTCTTCCAGCTGCCCTCTCAGTTTGGACAACATGGTCTTCACCTCGGAGCCTGGAGGAGAGCAGAGTTGCCACAAAGCAGGCCCCAGGCCCTTGCCCCCATCCCCAGCCCCCGGGAGCGCCTCTGCCCAGCCGCTGCTACCTTTACTGCGCTTCTCCTTCTGCAGGAGCTTCTGGTAGAACTTCAGGGTCTTCCGGTAGTTCCTCTTCTCTATCAGCAGCTGCTGCTCCAGCTCCTGGCCAGGAAAGAGCCCGTGATGCCCCAGCGCACCGCACTTTCCCGGCGTGCTCGCAGAAGTCGGCCTCCCCTCAGGGCCTGCACAGAGCCAGAGCGTGGGACACATCCCACGTGGGGACACCAGGGTTCCTAGGGACCTCACAGGGACACTGTCATCCAGCCGCAGAAAGGGTATCTGTGTGCGCCCCGGGAGACGTGAATTCTGACGAGGGGACCAGCCAACGTGAAGGGAAACCTCGCTGGAGTGCGGGGAGGAGGCTAGCGGGGGAGCGCTCAGCCGCGCCAGCTCGGGACGACACAGACCCAGCAGGGACCCTGCAGGTGGACCTGCGGCTCTACCCGGTTCGACCAGGGGGTTTCCTCCTGCCCCGGCAACAGCCCAGCCAATGAGAGAAGCTCACGGCCAGCCAATGGGAGGTGGTCAGGGCCCAACCAATGAGAAGCTACGACTCTCGCAGCCCCTAGTTTACTCCAATGGACTTTTAGTTTACAACAGGCGCCCCCACGTCCTCCTATAAAAGCGCCTCCTCGCCGCCCCGCCCGGCAGTGGGTTGGCGCTAGTTGGCTTGTGGGGGCGGAGCCGTGCGCTTCGCCGAACGAGCCGTTTTCTGGCTGAGTGACCGTTTTGTTGGGAAAGGTCAGCAGACCTGGGGCGCAAAGATAATACCCAGCACACGGGTATTTGCCAGGCAGATCCCGTTGGGCCACGTGAAACCGTGCGGGCGGAGGCCGGTCGGGCAGCTGTGGCCTGTCGCGCCTTCCTGGCCGTCCGCTGGGGCCCCCGCACGAGGAGGGGGCTGGGGCGCAGGGGCTGCGGCTCAGGCCCCGCCCCGCCCCGCCGAGGGGCTGCCCTTCGGCGAGGTGTCCAGGACTGCTTCTGGCTGGTTGGGGGGCGGGGGCTGGTCCCCCCCCGACCGGCCGACGGCCCCCGCTGCCCCGCGAGGCCCCTGCAAGACCCCCACGGGGCTGCCGCCTCCCCGCACCTGGGCCCCCGCGGGTGAGGACCCCACCTGAGGCCCGGCCGTCCGGTGCGCATGGTCGAGCCCGAGGGACGCCGGTGCGGAGTCCCTGCCCCAGATTCTGGCTGACTACCCCCCCCCCCCTCCCACCCCCCGTTCCCTCCAGGCCCCTCGGCCGTGCTGCACGGGGACAGCGGCCAGGACGCGTGGTCACTGCTGCCCGCGGGCAGTTCAGAGAGCTGGTGCCAGCGGGGCGTCCTCGTGTCACAGTGTGCCGGGGCGCCCAGAAGCAGGGGTCCCAGCCCCTCCTGGAGAATGTGCATCTCGCAGGAAGGTCCACACGGGTCCACACGAGCTTGGCGGGAGCAGTTTCTGCCCTCCCGAGAGGACGCTCTGGATTCTTCTCTCACCCAGAGGGACCAGGGAAGCCCTGCTGGCCGGGCAGGCTCAGGGCAGCGACTGTTAGAAATGACCAGAATCCAGACACGGTTCCTCCCTTCAAGGAAGGAGGGAACAGATGTAGCCTGGCTCACTGTCCCACCCTGCGGGGCCAGGGCTGAGGATGGGTGTGAATCTGGAGCGGAGAGGGTGCTGGAAGCCTGGCACGTCCCTGGGAGGGGGAGTTGAGCCTCCACGGGTCTCCAGCTGGGGGTGTGAGGTTGCCTTTACTTGCAGGAGTAGGACAGGAGTGTAGGGTGGACACAGTGAGGGGGACTTGGCCAGGGCCAGGAACCAGAGGAAGGGGCAGAGGCCCAGGGATCTCTCAGACTCCCACCAGAATACCTTCCTGTTAACCAGGTTCACAGTGGCCCCAGGACCCTGAAACGGCCACACTGACAGGAACCTTCATCTGAAAGCCAAATACACTGTGGTCTTCATTTGGGCACATCTAATCAGCTCAAACCCAAACAAGCTTCCCCCATTCTCCTCTGATGACAACAAGGGACTTGGCTTTGTCAGGAGCATTTATTTCTGTACAATGTTGTGAAATTAAAAATGCAGGTGGTGTCTTAATCGAGATATTTGAATCCCCTCTATCTAGCGGTTTTACTGAGGAGGTGGTTCACGGGGCTGTCTTCTTCCCTGTGCTATTCTGACAGCCAGGCAGCCGACGGCCACACCAGGCGGTGGACGTGCCAGGCCCCGGGCAGCTGTGGGGCAGGGGCTGGGTCTGCTGCTGGGGGACGTGGTGCAGACTGAATACAGATTCACCTCCTCCTCCACGTCTCAGTGGTTAACTCAGGTCCCCAGAGGCCTCCGGGTCCTTCTCCAGCGGGGCCACAAGCAAGCTGCAGGGGGAGGGCGTCACACCCTAGGGCAGCAGGCGTCTATCTCCATGCAAACAGAACGCTGATTTGGACCACAGCGAGATCCCCACAGGAGGCAGTTGCTTGGGGAGGAAGCCGGCCGAGCACTGCTCCCGCGGCCCCAGAGCTGCTCAGGCATCTTTTGGCCGGGACTCTGCGTGAGGAGCCTGTGGGTCTGACGTCACACAGCCTGGCTCCAAACCTGCCTCCCCCCTTGTCGGCCCAAGGACCCAGTCGCTGGTTGCCAGCGTGGGGGCTGGAACGAGCGCCCGTGGTGTGTGGGGCAGAATTGTGTGTGCAGGGCCTGCGTGCACCTCGGACGTGGGAGCCATGGGCACCTGTGGTGGCTCTAGTATTAAAAGAACACGAGGGGCACCTGGGTGGCTCAGTGGGTTGAGCCTCTGCCTTCGGCTCAGGTCATGATCCCAGGGTCCTGGGATCGAGCCCCGCATTGGGCTCTCTGCTCGGCGGGGAGCCTGCTTCCTCCTCTCTCTGCCTGCCTCTCTGACTACCTGTGATCTCTCTCTGTCAAATGAATAAATAAAATCTTTAAAAAAATAATAAAAAGAACATGAAAGTGTCAACTCCTGTCTCATGGGCCACACCTTGAGTGCTCAGCACACACGGCTGCTGGCTACCCGGTGGGTGGCACAGATCTGGAACGTGTCATCCCCGAGGACAGTCCTGTGGGACGCCACAAACCCTGGCAGCAGCACCCGCATGTCGCCCCCACAGCTGTGCTCCAGACGGACTCCTCTCCGTCCCCTGGAGGTCTGGTTCGCACGAGAACCAGGGGCTCTGCCGTCCCATCCTTGTGTGCTTCTCTGTGATCCTGGCTTTCTTTCTTTTTTTTTAATTTTTAATTTTTTAAAAAAGATTTTATCCATTTATTTCACACACACACACAGAGAGCACAAGTAGGCAGAGAGACAGGCAGAGAGAGAGGGGGAAGCAGGCTCCCCACCAAGCAGAGAGCCCGATGCGGGGCTCGATCCCAGGACCCTGGGATCATGACCTGAGCCGAAGGCAGAGGCTTAACCCACTGAGCCATCCAGGCGCCCCCCCCCTTTCTTTTTTTAAAATAAAGATTTCATTTATTAATTTGAGAGAGAGGGCACACAGAGAGAGAGGGGGGAAGCAGACTCCCCACTGAACAGAGACTTGGACTCGGGGCTCCATCCCAGGACGTTGAGGTCATGACCAAAGGCAGCTGCTTAACTGACGGAGCCACCAGGTGTCTCTGCCCCTGGCTTTCTGAAGACACCATGACCCTGGCTGACCTCCCTCAGAGTCTGAAGAGGGGAAGGGCGGCCCTGAGCTCTCTGTTCCTGGGTTCTTCCTCTGTGCGGCTCAGGACCGCCACAGCGAGGGCCCTTCTACAGCGACTCTGCATAAGGCTCTGTCCCGCACCACCGCCCCCTCGCACACGGTCCGGATGCTGATCCAGACCCCTCCCGCCAGAGAGGGCCGATGGGAGGCACCTGCTTCCTTCTGGAACAGGGCTCACAGACTCCAGGACCATTCTGACTGATTTTAAAGCTAAATCTATGTGAACTAAACTCCACACAAGAGGGGATGATGGAGAAGACACACTCGAGTGGGGCATCACCACGGCCATTCCTCGAAGGAGTCCAGCAAACCCGACCCCAGGGGACACGGACAGGCAAGGTCTAAGGAAAACGTTCAGGGTCATCTGCGTTGAGGTGTTTCCCCATGGCCTCACCCAACAAGGGACTTTCCCTGTAGAATTATGAGGAGTCAGAGTCAGTGTGCTCTGAACAGCCACACAACAGCCCTCAACCGTCCCAGGCCCGAGGGCTGCCCGCCCCGGGGACAAAGAGAACCGCGGATGGAGGAAGCTGGAGAGCCGGAACTTGTGGGCAGAGAGAGAAAAGAGGGATGAATCGAAATCAGCACCATTCACCTAAGTCCTGAGAGCAAAGGAGGGGCGCCTATGGCGTGGGCACAGGGAGACGAGGGCACCCAGCTGGCCCTCACGGCAGGGGCACATGGGCGCACGCTCGGGGACATACACTGTGCCCTCCAGCGGCTCTGCCCTCCCCCACCTGGGCCTGCTTCGCACTCCCTCGGTTTGGGGAGTGAAGGTGAGGGTGGGTCCGAGGGCTGTTCACTCCTTTCGAGTTAGCCCGAGGCTCATGATTTGAAGCAGAAGCAGTGGGTTCTCAAAGAGAAACGTGAAACTGGCCAACCAGGGCGCGGGGAACTCACCTGTCTGCATTCTGGTTCCAGGAGAGACGTCTTCCCCAGGTGGGCAGGAACAAAAAGGAAAACGAGGTCACTCCGGGTCACTCCCTAGTGCCCCTCAAACCGCCTCCCGGCTGCCCTGCAGGTGCCGCCCACAGAGTGGCTGTGGGACCGAGCCAGTTTCCGAGGCGGGAGGCCCAGGGCGCCTCGTCCCAACCACAAGGCCACGGTCCGGACTGGAGCGGGTGCTGGCCGCCAGCACACTCCTGGCCTGAGCTGTCTCTGAGCCCACCTTCAAGAGCAGTCTGAGTGGGGTGCAGGGCGACTGGCGTCACTAGTAGGTACGGCTCCCTGCAAAGGGCCACCGCCCTGAGGAGAGCGCGGGATGGAGCGCAGGGCCCCGTCAGCCTACCCTGGGCTCGCACGCACGAGAGCCACTCTCTGTGGCACTGAACACGAGGGGCTGGAGACAGGGCTGTCTGTCCATTGCCGCCCACCCCAAAGATGTGGCTGTAGTTAGCAGGCGTGACCTGTGAGGTCAGAGGATGACCTATGACATTGGAGGACACACCTGGACCCTTAGCACCCCCCCCAACAACTGTTGGGATTAAGCTGCTGGGGAAGGCGGTGTAGACACAGTGAGCTGCCCTGGGAAGGGCCCCGTCCTCTGTGACAGGGGCGTGAGCAGCCCCCTGGCCTCCCTGTCCCCAGGTCAGCAGGGCTCTGGGTCCAGCTGAGGTCAGGGTGGCGAGCTGGTGGCGGGCCGTGTGCAGGGACTGAGGGCAAAGGAAACTGCGCGGGGACCCTGCCTCACTCTTCCCCGTTCACTCACATTCAACCAGAATGACATCTGCCTGCGTCGGGTCAGGCTCCCACGGCCACTGATCACCTCTCCCCCTTTTTTTGTTCTTAACTACTTTTAAAAAAAGAGTTATTTGGGGCGCCTGGGTGGCTCAGTGGGTTAAAGCCTCTGCCTTCGGCTCAGGTCATGGTCTCAGGGTCCTGGGATCGAGCCCCGTACTGGGCTCTCTGCTCAGTGGGGAGCCTGCTTCCTCCTCTCTCTGCCTGCCTCTCCGCCTGCTTGTGGTCTCCGTCTGCCAAATAAATAAAATCTTGAAAAAAAAAGAGTTATTTATTTATTTGAGAGAGAGAACACGCACGCATGGTGGGGAGCAGCGCAGGGAGAGAGAGTCCCAAGCAGACTCGCTGCTGAGCGCGGAGCCCGTCGCAGGGCTCGACCTCACGACCCTGAGACGCGACCCCCGCTGGGACCCAGAGTCGGCCGCTGCACCAACGGTGCCACCTACGTGTCCCGCTCTCAACTGCTTCTCAAGTTTTTATTTGGAAAAATTCTTTTGTGACAAAATATATACAACATGAAGTTTCCGACGGTAACATTTCCCGTCGCGCCGCTGAGTGGCATGAAGTAATTCACCCTGTGGGACCCCCGGCCCGCCCTCCGCGTCCGGCTTACACGGCCGAGGCTCTGTCCCCACGAGAGCCCCATCCCTGGCCCCGTGCGGTCTCTGTGCACGTGGCCACCCCGGGGACCTCACGAGGTCAGTGGCACACGGTGCTGGTCCCTCCGTGTCTGGCTGTCACTCAGCAGGCCTCGGGGCTCCTCCTCGCGTGGCGGGTGCCAGCCCGTCCCGCGGCGTGCGCGCTCCCCAGCTCCGTCTCCGGCCGTCTGCGGCTGGGCGTGGGCTGCTCCCACCTCGGGGCGGCCGTGGGCACGGCGCAGGCAGCTCCCAGAGGCTCTCCCCGGCGGACACGCAGAGCCGGACTTGCCGGCTTACGTGGTGCAGCCACGCTTACTTTTTGCGGGAAACTCCAGAGTGGCCACGCCAGATCCCATTCCCACCAGCCGTGCGCAGGGCTCCCGTTTCTCCGCGACTCGCCAACACGGTCTTTTCTTTCTTTTTCAGATTTTGGTGGGAGCCGTCCTACTGGGTGTGAGGTGGCGTCTCGTTGCGGTTTGATTTTCCACAGTGACCAGTGAAGGGGACTATTTCGGCTACTTGCGTCGGTCCTCTGGGGAGACGTCTACGTGGGTCCATCAGCCCCGGCTCAGCGGAGGCCCCGCGTGGCTGCGGCCTTGTTCCCTAGACCTTCTGGGCATTTCGCCTTTCTCAGAGGCGTGTGCGGGTGTCTCCCGCTGTTCTGTGGCGCGCCCGTCCCCTCTGCGGGCGGCATCCTTGGACGCACCGCGTTTCGATCGAGCGCAGTTTCTCTATTTTCACTTCTGTTGCCTGTGCTTTCGGTATCGTATCCGAGAAATCGTTTCCACGTCCAGTGCCGTGAAGCTCCCCCCGTTTTCTGCTGTAATATAATTTGTAATTTATAATTTACAATTTAGCCCCAACGTTCAGGCCTCTGACGGCTCCGTTAACTTCTGGAAGTGGCGCGCACACAGGCCCGACGTTACCCTCCCGCCGGTCACACCGTTTCCCCAGCGCCGCGTGTCGCGAAGGCTGTCCTCTGCCCGCTGGCTGGTCCGGCGGTTGGTCAAAACCCATCTCACGCGGGCTTGCTTCTGGCCTCTCCAGTCTGTCCTGCTGGTCCGTCCGTCCGTCCTCGTGCCGGACCGCACTGCGTGGACGACGGCAGCTCTGCAGCAAGTTTGGAACCAGAAGAGTGAGTCGTCACTTCTCTGCTCCTTTTCCAGGATTGTTTGGCTCTTTGAGGTCCCTAGAGAGTCTGTGAACTGCAGGCGGGATTTTCTGTTTCCTGAAACGCCGTCATTGAGCCGTTGCTCCCTTCAGCTCAGCGATCCGTGTCAGTGTGGACGTGCGGTGAGGCGCACTCCGAGTTAGAAGCCGGTTGTGCGCTGCTTCTCTGGCTGCTCTGACTTGGCTGCTGGGGGCCCCTCGCTGTTCCCCCGACCTCCAGCGGGCCCCGGTCATGGGATCCTCGTCCCAGGTCTTGCCCCAGTCCGGGGTCCGTGATCTCTCCCAGAGCCCTCCCGGGTCCCTTGACCGCAGGCCGGGCCTGGAGCCAGAGGCTGTCAGCACCTGCAGGCCTCGGCCCCCACAGCCAGGAAACGCAGGGAGCGTGTTCAGTGACTCTCCCCTCGGAAGCCACGGGCCGGCACTCGCTGTCCACGGGCCTGGGCCCTGTCACGGTGACAGCTGGTCCCCCAAGGGGTGGTTGGTGTGGCTTTCTGCCTCTGTTCGTTTCCCGCTCGTGGGTACGGCCGTCGCAGGTGGAAAGCCTGTGCTGCTGGGACAGGAACCTCCGGCAGCCCCGGGCAAGCGTCACTGTGTGCAAATCCGTGTCACAGGCAAGGAAGTGGGGGTGAGGTCCGCAGGCCCCTGAGGGCAGGCGACAAGACGGCCAGGGGCTGGGAGCCCCGGACTGCCGCAGCGGCACGGAGCTGCCGTGTGGTCGGACTCTGCGCTCCCTGCCCCCTGACGCCCTACATGGGGGCCACCCTCCGTGCCAGGGCCCCCAGGGAGGCCCCCACCAGGCCCTGAAGCCCGGCACCCGCGATGGCTTCTGCAGGGGACCACAGCACCAAGCCCGGAGAACAGGGTGAGGCCATAGGGCATGGCCCACCGTCACGTGTGCAGGCCGGGGACGGGGCCCTGCTCTCTGTCCCGCGTGCAACTGAGCAGAAGCGCGACGTTCAGGCAGTAGCAGGAGGAGAACAAGGGGGAGCCCCGGGGAGGGTCCAGACGGGGGCAGGTCAGGGCCGGGCAGACATGGTGCTCCTGCGGCTCCGCTTGGAGGCTTGGAGGCCGGAGGAAGTTCGTCGCACAGGCCAAGCAGAGGCGCCGGGAGCAGAACACGTGAGCTGAGGGGGTCCTTCCCGCCTGCTGTCCTGGAAGGTCAGGCCTTGTGCGACGAGGCCCCGTGGGAGCTCCTGGTCACAGGGAAGGCTGCAGCCCAGGTCCCAGGTCCACGGGCTCTAGGTCACTTGGGAGTGGGGCCTGCAGCCCTGGTCAGAGCCCCTGGGTATGGGGGGCAGGTGCCCAGTGGCAGGCGCAGCGACCAGAGGTCCAGAGCTCTGTGGGCGACCCTCACCTAGGGCCTTGGCCTGGCCAGCCTCAAATCTGTGGGCTCCTCTCACCCTGCTGACCAGGGAGACACGCCCTGCTGGATGGTGCAGGAGGGACGCCCCCCGAGAAGCCCAGGCCAGACGCGCCCCGGGTCCAGCCTGGACGGACAGCCCCGGGCAAGGCCCAAAAGGTGTCTTGTCTCAGTGCTGCTGCCTGAAGAACAGGAGGCCGCCCGGGACGAGGGCTCGGCCTGCCTGCCCCCTCCAGAGACATGGCCCGCGGCCAGCTGTGGCGGCCAGCACAAGGTGACCTCCTGCAAGCGTCACGGCCGCCCATGTGCCCAGCTGAGAGAAAGGCCACGTCCTACCCCTGATGTGGAGGACACACACTGGTGAGCACAGCAGTGCCCTGGGAAGACGCACAGGGAGAGCGCCCAGACGAGTGCCAGGGTCACGGGGGTGGGGGGGATTCTGTGCCCGCCCCCGCCTGAGTGACTGGGAGCTCCCGCTGCTGCGACGCGGCACTCCCTGCCCAGGGTGCCTCTGCGGCCACAGCACCCCCTTCCCCAGCACCGGTAGCGGGCAGCCGCCCGGGACTCACCAGGCTCTGGGCGTCCGCGCCGGGGGCCGCGCCTGCCTTCTGACTGGCCAGCTCCCGCGCGTAGCTGTGGACGTCGGCGCCGAAGCAGTCCGCCTCGTAGAAGGCACTGCACCAGCCGGGGCTGCAGCGCTGGAGCTCCGCCGGGCCCGGGGGCGCGGCCAGGCCCCCCTCCTTGGGCCGGGCCAGTTGGGCCACGGCCTCGGGGCTCGGGCCCCCACCCTGCTGCCCGTGCTCTCCGGCCTCCAGCTGCTGTTCCCGCTCGCCTCTGACGGACTTCTGAGGCCGGAATCCCACCTCAAAGTTACCCCGCGACAGCTCGTCTGCATCCACATCGGACAGCGACGGGGACGGGCAGGGAGCTCGGCCGACACGCGCCGTGGCCAGTTTCTCCTTCCCTGCGCAGGAGAGGAGGGCTCCACTCGACACTGTGGCTCGTGTGGCAGAGTCCGTCCCTCATTGTTTACAGAGAGGCCGCTCGTGCTGAGTCGGGGACAGGAGGCCCCTCGAGACGGCCGGGTGCCCCTCTGTTGCTCTAGGGGCCAGCAGGGTCCTGCGGATTCAGGGCGGTGGTCCCGCTTCCCAGGAGGGTCCCTCGGGTCCCCTCCCAAACACAGGTCATCCCATGGGGCCGGAGTCTGCAGAGGACACCCCAGGGCTGGTGGACTGCTTGTGCGGAGATGGGCACGACCCAGGCTGCACCAAGGGGCAGAGGGGCCGAGGGGCTCCCTGGGCACAGTTCCTCTGCTCTCAAACTTCCTGGGTGTGCGTGCGGCAGAAGGGGTGGGACAAGGGGGCCTGTCCTCACCGTCCCCCCAGGGCTGTCATATATGTGATCACAGTCATGCCACCCGATTCCTAAAGTCTCGTCCCGGTCGGACTGATTTCGTGACATTGTAAAGACCTTTGTTACCTTGGAACCCTGCGCTAACATTCCAGGACATAAACCTCAGGGTCTTCCAATGGGCCACGTTTCTAGGAAAGATGTGAAGCTCTCCCTGTCGCAAGCTGTCGGCCAGTGACTCCAGGGAGAAGTGCCCTCCCAGCCCCGTCCACTGGGCTCCACTTGCTGCCGACCTGCTGGCCTGGGAGAACCCGCTTCCTAGCACAGAGCCTCCAGGGGAGGACGGGCTCTGCTCTGGGGCCTCTGAAGGGGCACTGGGGGCCTCAGGGCCAGAGGGGAGCCTCTCCTGAAAGAAGGGAGTTCTTGCCCCCGAGCCCATGTCTCTTACCCGCTCCGTGCAGCAATGGCCTCTTGCTGGACATGGAGCAGCCCCTCGGAGTGCCGGCTGCGCTGCCCTCGGGCTCTGCCCCAGCCTCCTCTGAAGCACTGTCGTCAGAAGGAAGGACGATGCAGGCACCCCGTGGCCCCCCGCCCCCTCCCCACAGCACAGTGGCTTCCCTGCTCTGCCTTCCAGCAGGAAGCTTTAGGAGGATGAGGAGAACCCTGCTGAGGCTGAGGTGGGGACCTGCCCGTGACCCTGTGCCAGCACCCCGGATGCACACCGTTTGACAGGGGCGTCCCCCGTCCCATGCAAGCTTCCTGAGGACGACGTGACCCCAGGCCACAGGATGGCACAAGGCCCCTCTTTCCGCAGTGGTTAAGGGGGCCTAATAACGGGCACAGGGCTTTCTGAACATTCGTTTCGGGAGGTCCCTGGACGGCCCTTCTCCCCGCCCCAAGAGCAAAGTGCGGGGGGCACTCATCTCGGTGCTCTGTTGACCTGTTTGCCCGGGCAGGGAGTGCGGCAAGGTGCCCCCCCCAGCAACCACGGCAAATGCTGAGGGAGCCCTGTCCTACTTGCCTGGTGGGGCCTCTGGAGGCAGACGGGGCTGTGGGGGTGCCTGGAGCTTAGGGATGAGGTGTCACGGCACTGGGGTCCAGCCATGGTCCCAGCCCTCGGGGCCACCTCCACCCACATGGCTGTCCATAGTCCATGGCAGAGGAGCATAGGGCACAGTCTGTGAAGGGGCTGGTCCTCCGGCAGCCATCACCCCCTTTCTACCATTAGGAGGGGAGCTGTCATGCAGTGCCCGCCTGGATGAGGGGGTGGGGGCAGATGCTGTTCCCCGTGGGGCCTCCTGCCCTCTGGGCTCCCGGTCACTTGACCTCCTCAAGCTGGTACCTGAGCAGGGATGCGCTTCCCGCCCCGTGAGCCCACAGTCCTCTCCTCCTGCACGAAGGAGCCCGGTGCCCAGAGGGAAAGCTGGGGGCTAGGGTGGGCTTCAGGACAAGCGAGAGGGACCCGCGTGGCCAGCCAGCCAGGGGAGCTGGACTTCAGGGGACAGGAGGACGTGGGGAACACAGCGGTGGGCCAGAGGAGGCAGAACCAGGGCCGTCCCGCCTGGCAGGGGACCCCAGGGTGGGGGAAGCCTGGGGCCTGAGAAGGGGGACTCACTTCTCGGAGGGGGACGTCCTCCCGTTCACCACTTTGAAAAGACTCTGCAGCAACTTCTCCCCCCAGTAGAGGTCACAGAACTTCTCCAATATGGCCCCACAGAAAGTGGCGTAGGTGAGGTCTTTCAAGGCGTAAATGTATTCACCTGGTTTGCAAAACGGCAGCGGCCAGTCACGACGGGGGAGCGTCCCCTCCGGGTTCCCTGTCGCCACACAGCTGCAGGTGGGGGAGACGCCCGAGCGGGGGGACCGGGCTCTGAGACCCTCTTCCTGCCTGAGGCTCTGCTGCTAGACCCACCCCTGGGCGCGGCTCGGCCCCCCGAACTCTTCATGCAGACGGACGAGTGGGGGCCCCAGTTCCCCTACACACTGGCCCACCCCCAGGGCACTGTGTCCCCCCACGGCCTCTCCCTGGTCCTGGGGCTTGTCTGGGGAACCCTGTGGGCCCTCTGCCATGATACCCATGATCAGCGCTTCCAGTCCGTTGTCCAAGTAGCCGTCGAAGGCAAACTCCTCCTGGATGAGACGTGTGGCCTCCTGCAGTGACGGGCAGGCTGTCCTCTTCGGGAGGGGCGAGGCGTCCACACTGGACACACCGAGCTTGTGGTCTGCTGGTAGGGGCCGCTCGGGGTGACTGTCTGTGGACTGGTCATCCTGCTCTGGGACAGAGGTGCCTTTGGGGCTGTCTGGACTCGCCTGGGCCAGGGAGGGGTCCCATGGAGCTGATGACGGACCCTCAGGTTCCTGGCCTGGGCCCTTAGTGGCCTTGTTCCTGAGTGGCTTGGCTGGGTGACTCGGGTCACGGCGGGTCACACTGGGCCCTTCCTCCGTGGCGAGCGCTTGTGCCTTCAGGAGTGGGACATCAGCAGAAGGCTCGGGCATCACTGGTGACGCCCCCTCTGGGCCAGGGGCTGGGACGCAGGGGATCCCCTGGGCCTTGTCTCTTGGCGTGGACTCTCTGAGAGGCTCTGGGGCCGCTCCCTGTGGTCCAGCACCAGGTGACGGCTGGTCAGGCGTCTTCCAGTTGGCAGCTCCAGGGGCCTCGGGAGCCTGCTGGCCATCGCCCTCCCTGTCCCTGAGAGCACAGAGAGGAGAAAGCACTCGGGGAGGGCTCGGGGACCCCACCAGCCCCAGGGTCGGGGTGCTCACCTGGCGGCCGCTGCATCTGGGGCCGGCACGATGGGCCTGAAGCGTGTGGCTGCGGCGGGGAAGGCGACTGGCAGTAATGTGGCCCCTTCAGTGCTGGGGGGCTGCGTGGGCATAGGCCCCTGCACGGCCACCAGCCTGGGGTCGTGGCTAACCCCAACAAAGCCTGGGGACAAACCCTGCATGAGGGCGGGCAGTGTGGATGCCCCAAAGCTGTGGTGGCTCTTCCCCACCCCACGGGGACCTCCAGGGTCAAGGGTGAAGGAGCCGGGGGAGGGGCCGGGTGGTGGAGGGTGGGAGCGACTCGAAGGCCACAGACAGGACAAGGGGGCCTTCCTCCTGCTGCAGGCTGGGGTCGTCACCACCCAGACAGGACAGGAAGCGGTCGGCAGGGTGTGTGCGTGGACATGGGAAGAGAGTGGAGGGATGCCCGGCCACATGGCCTGCTCTGGGGGCTGGCGACACGGGAGTACGACTAGGCCGTGGAGACAGAGGAGTGAGTAAACAGTGTGACTGCTGTGATGTTCTGGGCACCTTGCTCTGGGGCCCAGTGGTGCCTGCCTGTGGGTGTCCTCTCAGGGCTGGGGATCAGCTGCAGGGGCGGCCATGGCATCAGGGGAGGAGAGGTTGGGCCCTAGTGACCCACCTGAGCTGGGCCCAGAGATGGGTGTTGGGCTGGGGCTCAGTTCGACCACGGAGAGAGCGTTCTGGAGGCCGATGGTCTCTTCCTCCTGGTCAACCTGAGGCAGAAGGCCACGGATGGTCCCAGTCAAGGAGACACCAGGGGCCCGCATGTGCAGACTAGACGCTGGGTGCTCTCTCTGACCCTTTAGTGGGGCCCACAGCCCACACTGACTGCCACCGCTGGGCTCTGGGGTTACGGTTTCCCAGTTCAACAAGGTTTCGGTAGGTTTCTAGGGCCCGGGAGAACTTCGGCACGGACAGGGACCCCTGGGCTTCTCAGGATAGCCTGTCTGCTCTCCAAGGGCCCCGCCTGGTCCGCGCTCAGGAGGCTGCAGGCACACTGACCAAGCGTGCCGGCCACCTGAGGGTCATCCTGCAGGACACCCCCCGCCCCCCACGGCCACAGAGAGGGCAGGGCGTGGGGCTGCCCCAGGAGCTGCTCTGAGAGCGGAGGAGCTACCACCTCAGCTCACTCCACACGGAGAGGAAACTGCAAAATGCAAGGCCCCTCGTCTCCCCGGGGCGCAGACTGAGGGGTCTTCACCTGCTCTGGAAGTCCCTGTCCGACCTTGCGGGTGGAAGCCCTCAGGTGGGCTAAAATCCTCCTGCTGTCCATGCCTCGCTGACGGAGGTAGGTGCCGCATATCTGTAAGAGGGATGAGCCCGTGAACGGGCGCTCTGAGATGCCGCAGGCCGGGCGGCAGCGCCACGTCCCTCCAAGCGCGGAGGGGCCTTCAGAGAGCGCGCGGCGGCCTGCGGGCTCCCTGTACAGGGGGACCCCACGGGGGCCCCCTTGGGGAGGGCTGAGCAGGCCCAGCCTCGGGCAGCTGGGGTGAAATCCAGCAGCCCCGTGGGGAAGGAATAAAGACCCAACAGAAATGGCCACAGCCCTTCCTGGGACCGCTGCCCCACAGACAGCTATCGCAGGGAGGGGTGAGGGGCGAGGGGCAGGCTGCGGGGGAGGGGGCTACCCGAGTGCTGGACACGAGGGGCACGAGGGCACATGACCTTTTCCAACCGGCCCCTCTAAGAGCGCTGAGGAAGGGAGACATTAAGACCCATAGCAGAATGCGGGTCGAACGAGTCAGCTCCCACATGCACAGACAAGACAGCACCCCCAACCCGCAACCCAAAACACAGGCAAGAGAAAAAATCTATAGACGATTATGATTAGCTGCATTTTGACCCAGACAAGCCCAAGCCCTCTGTGACCTTGACGACAGGGCAGTGGGGGCCTGCAGGGTGACCGTGGGGTGGCCCCAGAGCCTGTGCCGGGGCGGAAGCGGGTTTGAGGCCCACCCTTGGTGCACCTGGGCCCTGGACGGCTCTGGGGTGAGGGCTGGTCCCGGAGCCTGGGGCTGACCCCTGACCCCGGAGCATGGAGCTGACCCCGGAGCGTGGAGCCGACCCCAGGAACTGAGCCTCTGCCAGCTCAGACTTCCTGGTACTTGGGGACAGAAGGTCACTGATGAGAATCTGTATTTTTCATTTGGGTTATGGATGGTCCTGAACGTGAAGATAAAGATTCTTTCCTTAAGCCTCCATTTAAGCACCCCCCCCATATGATTTCCTAACCGCTGGCAAGAACCACAGAAAACTCTCGGCAGAGAACGACCCCATCCAGGCTCTGCACGGCTTGGGGGCCAGAGCCCCCAGGGTTCCTGTCTGGAAAAGCTCCGTTTGCTCAGCCAACGCTGGGCAGAGGCTGCGACCCCGCCCCCCCGAGAGCGTTTATTGCCAAAGTTCCTGACTGTGAACTCTTCCCCGTCCTAGAGGCATCTGTGTCCCTCACAACCCAGGACCTGAACCTGATGCTCAGAACGTCGATCCTCAGGAAGGCTGGGCCCGGCTCCCAGGGTCTGGGGACGGTGGACACGGCTGCTTCGACCCCCAGCCCCTCATCCTCCCTGAACACGCCCGGCTGCCTCCGTACAGATCTGGAGTGGAGTGAAGCTCCTTCCCCTGCCGTCCGTCCATCTGTCCGTCCATCCACTTGTAGCTACTGAGTGAACTGTCTCAGCATTGTGGCTGACGTCTGCCGTGTTTCTCCATGACACGAGACCTCATCCTTCCTTGGCCAGGCAGGCCAGAGAGGTCCAGAGTGTCAGGGGCAGAGAAGGCCGCAAGGGGCTTCTCCCTCCAGGGGGTGGCCTTCCTGTGGCCTCTTGGTCACTGAAACACTCACGGGACCCCCCTTTACTTGTCCAGCTCTTGGCAGATGGGGGCAGTCTTGGGAGGGTGAGGGAAGGGGAGATGAGGGAAGTTGGGTTGCTGGGGGGACTCTGCTCCCTGCTGGCAGGGCAGAGGGACACGGGTCAGGCTGGTCCCAGGACACCCCCTGCCCACTCCGGCCGGGCGAACACACTGGAGGCAACCGGTTGGTCTGGTAGGGGCATGCCAGGGTCACGAGCAGCAGACGCTGTCTGCCACCTGTTCACAAAGGAAACCCGGGGCCCACCCTGTCCAATGTCCTCTTTTCCCAAAAACAGGAACCTGGCTGCTCGGTCATTGCCCGGGCCCTGTACGGTGAATGGGGGTCCCAGCTACAGTGTGCTTACCTTGATGGCCTCAGCCGTGTGTGGCCGCTCCTGGGCACTGCGCCTGGCCATGTCCAAGAGGAAGGTCTTCAGCCTGCGTGGCAGGGCCAGCTTGTGGTTTCGGGGGATGCTGAACTTGGCCGCCGTCCACAGGACCGCAGCTACAGCGTACACGGAGGCCTGGGTGGAGAAAAGCCCAGCCCTGCTCAGCGGCAACTCCTTCTCCTGGGCTCCCCCAGGGGTGCCTGGGGCATGAGCAGGACAGCCGCCCCTGGGAGACCGTCCCCCCCGTGCACCTCCTTGGAGCTTGGAGGCCCTGGCAAGACCCCGAGTCAGATCCCTCAGGGGCCTGGCCTGGGAACCTGCATGTTTACCAAACACCCGTGGGTCTTCACACTGACATGTGAGGCCTTGATGGGACCTGACCGCTCTCATGGTCCTCAGGCAGGTGGAGGTCGCAGCTCGGGGGTCTGAGGCCGGGGTTGCCCGAACCTGTGGGGCGCCGCTCAGTGGTAGACCGCAGGCTCTGAACAAGACCAGCCGCCTCTACGCCTCCCGGTTGTCCTCCACGTCCTAGGGGAAGGATGGGCACACGGCTCCCGAGTAAGGGAAGGTGTCACCCTCCTGGGGAGAGCCCAGGGATGGTCCCTGATGTGCTCTCGGATTTTTCTCAGCTCTTGGATCCGAAGTCCGCCCGCGACAGACAAGTGGCCGCCACACGCCGCTGGCCGGTGTTCTCATTTAACTCCACGGCTAGATGGAGGTGCAGCGTGGAGGGCCCGGTGAGTGGGGCAGCGGGAGGCTCTGCTCCGTGGACACGACACACCTGTGCGTTCCGTCACACCGTGAACACTTCCTCTGTCACTTTGTCAGGTCGGCACAGTGGACAAAACTGCAAGCTGGTGCTGGTGGCCACGCATGCCCGTCTCTGTGGCTGGTCGCTGCGCAGGACGCCACGAGCTGCTGCGGTGGTACGGGCGCCCGGGGTGGGGCCTCTCATGGCCAGGAGGCCCCCGCGCAGGAAAGTCACACGAGAGGGAATTATTAGCTGTAGATGGTTACTGACCTTCTAAGATCATGTAACCCTTTATTTTGAGGTCATTACAGATTCACGTACTGTTGTAAGAAATGAGACAGAGAGCCCGTGTGCCCTGGACCCAGTTCCCCACAAAGGTACCGTCTTGCCAGACTGCAGGACAGCGGCCCCGTCCTGATGATGGGCCGACACCACCAGGATCCAGAGCATTCGGTCGTCAGGAGGGGTCCGGGTGCCCCAATACGTGTTCTCAGTCTCTGGCAACCACGGACCTGTTGTCCGTTTCTAGGGTCATGCCATTTCACATAAATGGAATTATACGGTCTGGGACCTTTGGGGTTGGCGTTCTGCTGTCAGCCTAACCCTACGGAGATGCACCCAGGTCACTGCCCGGTCAACGCTCCGTTCCTTTCACTGCTCAGCGGCGTTCCACGGTGCGAACGGACCCTCGCGTGCTTAACCACTCACGCATCTGGGCTGTGTCCCGTTTGGGGCTGTTCTGAACATGGTTCCCCTGGGACGGGCGCCTGGGGACATGGTTTCCCCGGGATGGATGCCTGGGGATGTGGTTCCTGGGCTTTAAGGCAGGTACGTGTTTACTTTCTGACGAAACTGCCAGAAGGGCCGTGTCCTTTCCCATGCTCAGCAGCAGTGCCCGGGGGGCTCCTGTTCCGCATCCTCGCCGGCCCCTGGCGTGGGCAGCGTTTGGGGTGCTAGCTGCTTCCATGGCGTGGAGTGCGGTCTCCTCGTTTTGGTGCCCCGTGCCGCTGGGCAGCTTTCATACGCTCGTTTGCCATAGGACGTCTTTGGCGAGGGGCTCTGCAGGCCTTTTGCCCACTTTTAAACTGGATTGGTTTTTAAATTAATTTGGTGGGACACCTGAGTGGCTCAGTGGGTTGAGCCTCTGCCTTTGGCTCGGGTCACGATCTCAGGGTCCTGGAATCGAGCCCCGCATCGGGCTCTCTGCTCAGCGGGGAGCCTGCTTCCCTCTCTCTCTCTGCCTCTCTGCCTACTTGTGATCTCCGTCAAATAAATAAAATCTTTAAAAAAAATTTAATTTGGTTTTTTTATTGCTGACTTTTAAGAGATCTTTGTATGTTTGGGATACAGATGCTTTATCAGATGTGTGTTTTCCTAATGTTTCCTGCCAGTCTGTGGCCAGTCTTTTCACTCTTAAAGTCTGAGGTTGTCATGGAGGCGTACATCGACTTTCTCTTTCACAGAACGTGCTTTTGTGTTGTGCCCAGAAGTTACTGCCAGATCCCTCTCAGGGGTCCTCTATTGACATAAACACGATTTGTCTTCTCCAGCCTACTGACACGACGTTCTAGAGTAATACCTTCCCGTTGCTGAGTCAGTCCTCCACACGTGGGATCAGGCCCATGTGGTCAGTTTTTTGATTTTGATGAAGTTCATCTTGCCCACTTTTCCTTTTGTGGAAAAATTTATGGATACTGCTTTTGGTGTCACGTCTAAGAACTCTTTGCCTGGCCTTTAATCTCTGAGATTTTGTTTGATTTCTTTCATTAGGATTTTGTAGTTCTCAGCACGTTCAGTCCGGTGCGTGCTTGGTTAGATCTGAATGTAAGTACTTCCTTTTTTTGAGTCATGGTACACTTACATTAAGTTTACATTTTATATTTTAATTAAATTCAAATTAATATTTATTTAAAATTTTTTTTCTTCAGCTAAGACAACAGAAGAGACGATCTATCTATCGTACACGTCATACTCGGCCACAGCTGAGAACAGACTTAGTCCTGAAAGTCACAGGTCCAGGGCAAAGGACCAAAAGGGACTGTTTTGGTATGAACGAGGCTGGTCTCTCAAAAGTGGTCGTTGAGGTTGGACGGCGAGGGAGGCTCTAGATCTCCTGAAACAGATTCTAGAAAGTAGGTGTGCTGTCCAACGGTCTGCACTAGCGTCCCCGGCCTCCGGCTTTCCCAGTGTCTGCTCCTGAGGCTTCACGGGTGCGTCAGCGGGTGCCTTACGTGGACCTCCGCCTCGTCGTCGTCTTCCTTTTCCGCTCAGCCTGTGCCTTCGCCCCTTCCTGCATGGCGTTCATGGTGTGGAGGCTTCCAAGACGGTGCTAATGCTGAGAGAGAGCGCCCTGTATTTTTGGGGGGAGGGCTGTATTTTAAATTTGGTGTCTGTATGTTCATTGCTAACATGCAGAAATACAATGGATTTTTGAACGTTCTTATGTCCTGTGACCTTCAGAACTCACTCCTTAATCCCATGGGTTTCCTTGGAATTTTCTACAAAGACAGTCATGTCATGTGCAAATGGTGTTATTTCTTCTTGGTCTTTATGCTGTTTTTGCATTACTGTAGTGGCTAGAACTTCAGCACTGTGTTGAGTACAAGCAGGGACAGTGCACGTCCTTGCATTGTTCCCAGTCTTGGGGGAAAGCATTTAGTCTTTTCCCATTTGGTATGATGTTAGCTACAGGGTGTGTGTGTGTGCGTGCGTGTGTGTGTGTGTGTGTTTGTAGACACTCTTTATTAAGCTGAGCAAGTTTCTTCTGTTTGTATTTTTCTGAAAAAGTTTTTTATTATGAATGGGTATTGAATTTTGCCAAATGGTTTTTCTGTATCAATTAGTGTGATCATGGGGTCTTTCTTTTTTACCTGGTTAATATGTTGGACTGATTGATTTTCAAATAGTAAACCAGCCTCGTATCCCTAGAATAACTTCCACTGTGTCACGGTGCATAATTTTTATATATTGTTGAATTCTATTTGCATATTTTGGTAAGGACTTTTGTGTTGATACTCATGAAGGACGTTGTCGTATATAAGCCTCTATCTATCAGTATACATTGACAAGAAATATATTGGCTTAATAAAACAGGCAGGGAAGTGTTCTCTGTCTTCTGGAAAAGATGGTGTAGAAGTGATATTAATTTTTCTTTAAACATTCAGTAGAATTCTCCAGCGAAATTCTGGACCAAGAGATTTACTTTTGTAGAGTTTTAAAATTACAAATTCCATTTCCTCAACAGTCAGGGCTATTCAAAGATCTGTTTCATATTGGGTGAGTTGTGGTAGTTTATGTTTCCTGAAGAATTGGTCCATTTCATCAAAGTTGTCAAATTTATGTGTGTAGAGTTGTCTGTAGCCCCATTATTCTTCTGATGTCTAAACTGTGTGTAGGGTATCCCCTGTGTCATTCCTGGTAATGGTAATTTGTGTCTTTTTCTCCTTCTTCCTCTTCTTTTCTTCTTTTCTTTCTTTCTTTTTTTTTTGCTTTGTCCGTTTTGTTGGACGTTTTAAACTTTTATTCGTCTTTTCTAAGAACCAGCTCTTCACTGGTTTTCTCTATTGTTATCCATTTTCGTTGATTTCCGCGCTTCATTACTTCTGTCCTTCTGCTTTGGGTCTACGTTGCTCTTCTTTTTGTAGATCCCTGAGGTGGTAGCTTAGATTATGGACTTGAACTTTTACCTCTTTTCTCACGCATATGCATTTAGTGCTATGAATTTCCCTCTTAGCCCCGCCATGGCTGTGCCCCACAGTGTCAATGCTCGCATCTGTTGATTGTCCTTTTTTCATTCGGTTTGAAGTCTCCCTGGTTCTTGGTATGGCAAGTGGTTTTTTGGAAACCTGGACATTTTCACATTGTGACCTTTTACCTGGCTTTCTCTGACAGCACTGTCGGAAAGTGGGCACCATCTCATTATTGCCAGGTGGTGGCGGAGTTCAGGGTCCGGAACCTGAGGCGAAGGCTCCTCCTCACTGCCACATGGGGGGTGGGAGACCAGATCTCCATTGGCCTCCAGTGATGTGCCTCTGGCTGGGAGGGGGAAGAGTGCGTCCTTTCTGCTCCTTACCTACCTCCTTTCCCAGCATGAGGCAGGGCTGGCCTTGTTGCTGCTGGGTGATGGTCAGAGTCCCAGCTCTCCACAAGGCCTCCTCTCACAACACCTGGCTAGGAAGGGCGTTTGCTTCTGCCAGGGTGGGGGGTGTGACCCCATGGTGACCACATGGTCTCCGCTGGCTTCACAGGCAGGGGGCCCATTACAGGCTGGTGGGGACCCTCAGCCTTCTCTGGCACCATCTGGTTAGGATCTCTGCTGGTATGCGTGGGTCCACCCCTTCCCTTGCCATGGCCTCTGGCTTGAGAGTGCGGCTTCTGTCCCCATGTGTGAGGCAGAGAGAGGGAGCAGGGCCCTCACCACTGTGCCTCCCTTGGGCTGAGGCCCTGACCAGGCTGACTTTTGCTCTCTACCCTTCAGACTTCTCATCCTTGTTTCAGGGATGGGTTTCTAGATGTACACTGGGCGAGTAGGGAAGTGGAGTTCCACCTCCATTTCAAATATGATTTACCTAATTTTTAGTTTGTACAATTTGATTTTTTATTTTTTTATTATTTTTTAAAGAAAGCTCTATGCCCAGTGTGGGACTTGAACTCATGACCCTGAGATCAAGAGTTGCACGCTGTACTGCCTGAGGTAGCTAGGTGCCCCCAAGTTTGCACAGTTTAATTTTGGATAATGGCTCTGTGTAGCAAGTGCCTCGTAAACACTGCTGACCATTCAGCCCCCGGCTCTCTCAAGCCAGCACATTCGGCCCCGAACTGTCCATGCCCAAGTCCTGCCCATCTGGGGTGACACTCCCAGAGCCATGCCCCTGTCACCCCTGGGGAGGCACTGGCTAGGTGGAGGCCACCCTGGCAGGAGAGCCAGGCTCTGGATGTGACCGCTGCACTGCGGGAGGGCCCTGCCTCTCCTGTGCCCTGTGCTGGGCCCGCGCCTCCTCCCCCACCCCTGGCTCTGGGCAGAAGGGGGTACCGTGGGTGCTATGGGTGCCGGGAGGGACAGGGGAGCGCCCGCTTGCCTTCTCAGTCACCAGTTCTTGCTCTGCAACCTCAGGAGCCAGAAAGAAGGTGTCGTAAGTGCCTAAGAGAGAAAAGCCCCGGTTCTGAGTTCTCTTTCCAGCCTAGGGTGTCCTCGGCAGAGCACAGCTCCTGAGGGCAACCCTGTGTACACACCGTTGGCGGGGGGTGGGCTGAAGAGCACGGCCCCGTCCTCGGCCACCAGCACGGAGTCCAGGCACAGGTAGGCTGCAAGAGAAGGTGAGGGTCAGGGTGGCTGGACTCACGTGGGAACGCTGCTCTCCCAGGAACCCGCAGAGGCAGGCTGGGGGTGGGGCAGCTCCCCTCTGCGCCGCCCCCCAACCCCAGGGAGTCCAGGGGCCGGGGCTGTGCACTGCTTCTTCTCAGAGGCCCAGTACACTGCCAGGTGGACGGGGCACTGGGGGTCCTCTGCAACACCCGCCTGCCCACCAGAGCTGCCTCAGGGCTGCTCCTGGCACATCAGGCTGGAAATGGAAAGAAGAGGAAGGAAGAGGAAGGGGCATGGAGGGTCACAGCCCAGCCCCGAGTGCTGCCCCTCTGAGGGGTCCCAGAGGAGGCTGCGCCCCAAAGGGCGCATGGGTCGTGGGACTCGGGGTCAGCCCTCATTGTCCCTCCCCATGATGTGTCCCATCAAGGGCCATGGGCCTGTCACACTGTCCAGCAAGCTGCAAACCAGGGTAGTGTCTGAAATCCCCTCCTCCCCGGCCACTTCTGCCTCCTTGGGGACAACGTGGCCCTGTTGAGGGGATGTGGGCCACCCATACAGCTCCCACTCTACAGCGGGGTCGTTGGCCTCAAGGCCCACCTTCCATGCCCCTGCCCCCCGCGGCCCCCAGACCCTTTTGGTCCTAAGACCAGAGCCAACACCTCCAGGACCCTGTGGGCTCACAGCCACCTGGCCCCAGGCTGTCCCCGGGGCCCACATGTGCCTGACAGAGGCCATGTGATGACCTGGGATGCACGGGTAGGGGGCAGGCTGAGCATGGACCCGCAGGACAAACCAGCACCTGGGTGCTCGTGGTGAGCGCGCAGAGCAGTGAGACACGCGTGCGACAGAGCCCAGAGCTCGCACTCCTTGAAGGGCCGGCCCAGCTGGCACAGGAGCTGCTGTAGGGAGACGACCTGGGGGAGGGAGAAGTCGCATCCTAGCAAGAATGGTCCTGGCCCATTGGCAAAGTGGCAAGGTGGGAACCACTTTGAATAAGGGTCGGGTGGGCCTCCCACATGGCCCACTCCTGGCCCTGTGGGGAGCGACGTCCCCACGTGGACACGACGGGCTGGGAATCCAGCATGCCTGGCCAGAATGTGGGGACACCAGTGTGGACCCTCAGGAATTGAACAGAGAATCACCAGATGATCATGTGATCCCACCTGTGGGCGTGCACCCCCAAGGGCCAGGAGCAGGGACTCCAACAGTTGTCTGCACCCCTGTGTTCACAGCAGCGTGGGTCACGGCAGCCACGGGGGGTGGGGACCCGAGCGCCCAGCACAGATGAAGGGGTGAGGGGACGAGGGTCCCGCAGCCTTGAGAGGAGGGACGGGCCTGCACCTGCTCCTGCGTGCAGGGGCCCCAGAGGCCTGATGCCCAGGGAGAGAGCCCGCACCAAAGGACCAGGAGTGCGTGCCGCCACCGTCGTGAGGTGCCAGGATCTGTCACAGTCCCGGAGACAGAGGGTGGATGCGGGGACGGGGACAGAGCTTCATCCGGGAGGGTGAAGGCTGGGGGTGGAGGCTGGGGGTGGAGGCTGGGGCTGGCTGCGGGGGGTGGAGGCTGGGGCTGGCTGCGGGACTCTGGGACTGGTCGCCACTGAGCTGTACGCTTGGCGGAGATGGGCTGTCTTCCAAGACGCATGCTCTCCCCCACCCGCCCCACCACCACAGACTTCCTGGGAGTCCAAGGAACGCACTCAGCTGGCAGGAGGCCCTTGCCTCGGAGGCTGTGGAAGAGCGAGGTCCCAGCCACTACACTTGGGACACACAAGCACATGCTTTCGGGAGGGTCCCCGAGGCAGCATCTGCACCCTTGACCCCCTCACGTCCGGGGTGCAGCTGCCTTGCTCTTTCTAGCTTCTTGCCACATATTTGCAAGTGTGGCTGGCGGCCCACGTTCTGGCCCTCCCCAAGCCCCTGACCACATGTGGAGGCTGCGGCCGCCGGCTTTGAAACCAGGTTGAGCTCTGCCGCAGAGATCTGGGGCCCTGATGCCCAGCAGGCTGTGCCTGGGGTAGGGGTGAGGTCTGGGCAGGCCCTGGTCCCGTGAGGCCGCTGGGGCAGGGGAGCCTGGTGGTTAGGTAGCTGGGCTCCCCCCGTCAGCTTTGCCCCTCAGCGGCTGCCCACCCTCCACCAGCATGCACGGCTGCTCCATGCCTCAGTTCAGCCGTCTGAAAAGCGGGCTGTTGTTGTCCCAGGCCAAGAAGCTGTTGGGCATGGGAAGGTGAGCCCAGTCCGGGATGTGGTGGGGTTTTCCTGCCTCAGTGGCTGGAGCTGTCTACACACAAGCCAGGGTGGGCCCCGGAGGCCAGTGGAGACCATGTGGGCTAAGGTGTGGACACATGGGTGTGCAGGGGGATCTCCGGGATAGACATTTGCTTTAAACTAACTCGAGTGTTGGGGTGCCTGGGTGGCACAGTTGGTCAAGCGTCTGGCTGCTGATTTTGGCTCGGATCATGATGTCAGGGTCATGGGATGGAGCCCCTCGTCGGGCTCCATGCTCAGCGGGGAGCAGGTATCACGCCCGGCGTGGGGCCCAGTGCAGAGACTGAACCCATGACCCTGAGATCAAGACCTGAGCTCAGATCAAGAGCAGGGTGCTCAACCAACCAGGCCATTCAGGAGCCCGCTCCTGACTTTGAGATAATTAGGAGAAAAAGGCGTTGCCGCCGCTGGCTGCCGGGCTGGGGAACAGAGCAGCAGAGGTAAGCCTGCCGGCTTGGGGCTGCTGGGCCTCCTCCTGGGAAGGCCGCTCCCTGCACCCTCCTTTGGCAGAACATTAACCCCGAAGCAGGGGTGCCTCCTGTGGCAAACGCGTGGGGTGTGGGGCTGCTCTCACGGACGCCCCACCTCCGGGAAGGCCGCAGGAGAGGCCCGGCCTGGGACAACAGCAGGCTGTACCCAGAGCTTCCTTCAGAAACAGACAGCTTGCTTGAAACTGGTGAATCACGGAGCAGGAGTGACAGTGAGACTCCCCTCCGTGCCGGAGGCACCAGCACCGCATGTGAGCCACGGACCGAGTGCCTGCTCGCGTGCGGGTCCCCTCCTGGCATGTGGCGGGAACCGCTATCACCCACCTGCTCTGCCGTGGCGCTAGCCGGCTCCCCAGCTCGGCCTGGGGACCCCTCCTCAGTCCTGCACGTCCTGGGCTCTCGGCCTGCATCTCCAGGGTCTTCGGAACGGGGCGGGGCGCTTTGCTCCACCGGGCTCCAGCCCAGCGCCCCAGACGCCCTGTCCCCACTTCGGCTGGCGTCTCCAGGTCCCCCTTGCTGGAGCTCGGGCTCCCGCCCCGGCCACAGTCTGGAACTGGGCTCTGACTTGTAGCTGGAAAGGCCGTTTTTCCCATCTAGAGGGGCCTTGCTGAGGTTTGCAGGGAAGACTTGGGATGTGGATGGCTGGTTCTTGGCGGGGGTCAGCGTCAGGCAGAGGGTGCTGGGCTCGGGGCCATCAGGCGGGAGCTTGGGGAACGTCTGCACCTTCCGCAGGCACCTCCTGTCCGTGTCGCCCGGGGGGTGTTGGGAGTCCAGGAGGAGACTGGCCGGCTGCTCTCCGTTTCTCACGGGGGCTGACAGCAGGGGCTTGGAGGGGGAGGCAGCAGGCTGCTTTGGGCTGCCCTGGGCTTCTTGGGCAGGACGCTGGGGCATGCTCCCTGGGTCCATGGCTTGGACCCCCGTCTGCCTCCTGGGCCCCACGCTTCCTGCGGCAGGCTTCCCGCTCCAGGCACTCTCGGTGACATCTGGGCAAAAGCAAGGTGATTGCTGCAGGGGAGGTGGCTGGGGACCTGAGCCCAGGCTGGGCATCCCCAGTGACTGCACCTGGTACCAGAGGGACGTAGGCGCCCCCCCTGCCCCCCGGGCCCCCCCCCCCCCCCAACAGCACTGGCCCAGAACCACCTTCATCTCCCTCCTTCATCGCATGACCCGGCTGATTCCAACTAGGAGGCTCCAGGGGCCCCTGGGCTCCCTGTGCAGCATGGTCGCCCCCTCAGGGTCTTCCTAAGGTCGTCCAAGCAGCTTGTCCAAAGAGCCTTTGCTTTCTAGTACGATCACAAGAATGCTGTCCCCGAAGGAGGACATGGAGTGGGGATGCAGCTGCCACCCTCCATGGATGCCGCTCGAGACACACAGGCCCTCCTTGTGGCCTGCAGCCTCTCCCAGGGGACTGTTCTCTGCTGCCCGGGGGGAGCTGAGCCTCAGGCCACTGGGGCCTGCTGCCACCAGAGGCTCCATGTGGCTGCCCTGAGGGCCCTCCAGGCTCCTTGCTGCAGGCACGGCACAGACGCTGCCATTTGTTCAAAACGTGACCTGAGACCATGCCAGAGCCCTCACGGGGGACAGGAAACCCCCAGGCTTCAGCAGCAGCTTCTCTCGTGGAGAAGTAACGGGTCCGTCGACACCGCGTGGTGCCGGCCAGTGGGAAGGAAAGAAGGGACAGCACAGTGTCGCTGGGCCCTCGTCCCGACCTGCTCACAGACCCACACCGAGAGGTGTAGGACTGCTCACTTCTCAGCACGGCCTGTGCTCCACCCCCAGGGGCCCAGGTGTCTGCAAAGCGTGTGCAAGGTGACAGCGAAGGCGTCCGTCTATGAGCATGGCTACAACATGGGTGTGCATGGGAGAGTGTTGTGCTTGTGCACAAGTGTGTGTGTGGACAAGTGTGCACGTGCACCAGTAGGTGTGAATGACTGCACTTTCACGTATGCTTCTGGGACTATGAGCAAGTGAGTGTGAACACGTGTGCCTGTGGGGCACGTGCGCACGAGTGCGGGTGTTTACATGGTGAGGGTGATGGCATGCACACGTGTGTATGTGCTAAGGTTTGTGCATGCGCGTGTGTGTATGTGACTGTGTGTGCAAGCACACGTGTGTGCACATGCTTACCTTGAAATGCTCCGAAGGACTCAATGGAGAGCACTCTCCTTCCGATGGCCGAGAGGCTCCGGCACAGGCGGCAGGAGGACGTGAAGAGCATCTTCTCCTCGCACAGCGCGATGATGCCCTGCACACGTGCGCGGGAAGCTCAGCGCGGGAGCCCCGCCTTCTGGGAGCCCTGCCCTCTGGGAGCCCCGCCCTCTGGGAGCCCACCCCCTCCATGTCTGCTTTCTGGCACAGAAAAGCTGTGTGTCCTGCGATTATGCAAAACCAGGCCATTCTTCTAAGCCACACTCTTCACAGTAACAACGTATAATAAAAGGTCAGGTTCTTCTTTAAGCAAAATGCAATGCCACCAGGTCCCAGGTGAAGAAGAGCCCGTGGACTGAGGGGAGAGGTGTGGGGGCAGGAGGGCCCCGTGTATGTGTGTGTGTGTGTGTGTGTGTGTGTGTGTGTGTGTGTCCCTGGGGCCCCGGGGCCAGAGGGAAGGTCTCAGGTCTTCGCCTTAGGGTGATTTTGTACCTCGAGGTCGGGCCGGTCCCTGGGGTCTTCTGCCTGCATCCGGCTCAGCAACACCTCCAGGTCTTGGCTCAGCCTGGGCTCCAGCTCGGGCTCAGTCACGTACTCCAGGGCCGCCTTCAGCGTGGCCCCCAGAGAGTAGATGTGAGCCTACAGCCCCAGAAAGCTGGTCAACGCCCCGGAGCATGGTCGCCCCCACACGGTCTCTGCTCCACTGGCCAGGAACACGTGTTTTGGGGGACTCCTGCTCCTGACAGCCCATGCAGCACGGCCAAGGCAGTGCCTCCCCCACCATGGTGACTGTGCCGACACGAAGGCAGGGGCCCTGTGCCCGTGGGTGTGGGGTCTGTGCAGACCTTGCTGCACTGACCGGTGGACACCCCCCCCCGGCTTTCGGCTCACCCCAGCCTCACCCCAAGGTGCGCAGATGCGGGACCCCCGCCTGTGATGGTGGCCGTGTCTCCGAAGGGCAGTCTTCTCTTTTTAAATCTGTGTTTCTCTGATTATGAATGAGACCGAGCATCTGTTCTTTGCTATTCACGGTTCTAACTTTTCCTCCTTATGCCCACTCATGGGCCTCACACTCCACCAGGCTGTTTCCTGTTTGGGGAGCACTCCTGGCACACCGGGCCCCGACTGCCGGTCTGGGTGCCACACATATGGTCTTTCCATTTGTCACTTAGCTTTGGACATAGTTCATCCATCTTCTGACATTCAAAAATTCTCACGTTTAATTGGTGAAATCAGACCTTTTTTTCTTTAGCTGTTCTTAGGAGGAACTTCCCTACCCCAGGTTGATAAAAACAGCTTTCTTTTGTTTCCTCCCATATTTTTTATAATTTTTATACATCCAGCTCTAATCCACTTGAAATTTGTCAGTGTGCTGGCATGTGGTCAGGATCTGGGTTTGTCTCCCTTGTAGTGGAGAGCAGCCTCAGAAGCATTTAGAGGACGTTCTGCCCTCCGCCACTGCTGGTCCTGCTGGCTCCCCCGGGACCCCGGGGCCCAGCGGGCCTCCCCTCCTCTGATGCTGGTCCAGGTGTCTGTCCTATCCAGACTGTGCTATTTTACTTATAGTAGCGTCACAGTGTATTTTCATATCCTGAGGACAAGCTGTCCCTCTTTTTCCCTTAGAAAGTTGGATTATTTTCACTTTTGTCTGGTTTCAAAGCACAAATATAAATTCTCCCATTCCCATTCACAAAATAAACCAAAAATGGTTGTGATTTTATTGTAATTGCATCGATAATGCAGAATTTGGGAAGGATCAACTTCTTACAAAATAAAACACTTAGGATGTCACCAAGATGGTCAACAGGATGTCTTCAGAGCCTAACCTTCAACAGCAGTTCAACCTCCACTCACAGCCAAGAGCCCCTGTGTGGGGTCTGTGTGAGCCAGTGCCTCATGCTGAGGGACCCAGCGGGAATGTTGCCCACCTATGTGTCAGATAATAGGAAAACAGATACACTTTGGTCCTGGCCGTGGACACTACTGCTGGACTAGCCAGGAAAAAAGAAAGGACTCAAATTAATAGGATCAGAAGTGAAAGAGGAGACATTACAGGTAACACCACAGAAATACACAGGATCTTAAGACGACTGAGGACAACTGCATACCAACAAATTGAATAACTTAGGAAAAAATGGATAAATCTCTACAAACATACAACCTATCAAGACTGAATCATGAGGAAACAGAAAATCTGAACAGACCATGCATACTAAGGAATTGAAGGAGTAATCAAAGACCTCTCAACAAAGAAAAGCCAGGACCGGATGGTTTCTCTAGTGAATTCTACCAAACATTTAAAGAATTCATACCAATCCGTCTTGAGTCCTTCCAGAAAATTGAAGAGGAGGGAACACTCACAAACTCATTTTGTGAGGCCAGCATTACCCTGATGCCAAAGTCAGATAAGGAACCAAAGGAAAACTAGAGAGCACCATCCCTGATGAACAGAGATGTAAAAGTGCTCAAGAAGACATTAGCAAACCAAATTGAACACCACATCAGAAGGATCGTACACCATGGTCACGTGGGTTTTATCCCTGGGTTGCAAGGTGATCCAGTTGACCTGCAAACCAGTGGACGTGATGACTACATTAGCAGAATGAAGGACAAAAATCGTACGGCCATCTCAATAGATGCAGAAGGACGTTTGACAAAACTCAGCATCTTTCATGATAAAAACTCTCAAGAGATTAGGCACAGAAGAAACAGAACAAAATCTCAACATAACAAAGGCCACAAGGGACAAGGCCCCAGTCAACATCACAGTGGGTGGTGACAGGGTGAGAACTTTTCTCTGAGATCAGGACGAGACAAGGGTGCCCGCTGTTCGCTCTCCTATCAACCCAGCACCGAAGTCCTAGCAGAGCAATCAGGCAAGAAAAAGAAATAAAAACACCCACATCAGAAGGGAAGAAATAAAATTGTCTCTATTTGCAGACAATGTGGTCTTACATGTGGAAAACCCTAGAGACTCTGCCACAGCTCTCTTAGGACGGATCAACAAATTCAATAAAGTTGCAGGACATAAGGGCAACATGAAGAAGTCAGCTCTCTTTCCATACACGAACGATGAAATACAGGAAAAATAAGTAAAGAAAACAATCCCATTTACAATAGTATCAAAAACAACAACAACAAAAAAAGTTAGGAATAAATTTAACCAAGGAAGTGAACGTTTTGTACGCTGGCAAGTTGAAGGCTCTGGCGAAAGGAATGAAGGAACACACAAACACACGGCAGCGCGCCACGCTCACGGGCCGGGAGGTTCAGTGTCACTACACCGTCCGTACCTCCCGACGTCACCTCTAGATTGAGTGCAATCCCTATCAAAGTTTTTGTTTTTCACAGAAAAAAGCATTTTTCACAGAAATAGAACAATCCGAAATTCATACGGAAGCACTAAAGCCCCTAACCAGCCCAAGCAGTCCTGAGAGAGAAGAACAAAGCCGGAGGCACCACACGTCCTGAGGTCAAACGACCCCAAAGCTACGGTAACACAAGCAGACCAGACTGGAATAAGAACAGACACGTAGACCAAAGGAACAGAATTGAGAGCCTGGAAATAAACTGTCTACACAATCGACCAATGTTTGACAAGGGAGCCGATGCTAGTCAATGAGGAAAGGACAGTCTCTTCAACAAGTGGTGTTGGGAAAACTAGACAATCGCCTGCAGAAGAATGAACTTGGACCGTCTCACTCCACTTACAAAATTAACTCAAAATGGATGAAGGACGTAACGTAAGACCCCAAGCCATAACACTCCCGGAAGAAAACACAGGGAAAACCCCTAAGACATTGGTCTTGGCAATGACTTTTTGGACGTGACACCAAGAGCAGAAGCAACAGAAGAAAAACAAGAAAGTGGGGACGACATTGCACGGCAGAGACAGGGCAGTCTGCAGAAGGGGAGAAAGTATTTGCAAACCATCTGTCTCATAGGGAGTTAATCCCCAAAATTTAGAAGGAACTCCTACAACTCAAGAGCAAACAAATAATCTGATTAAAAAATGGGCAGAGGAACTGAAAAGACACTTTTCGAAAGAAGACGTCCGGACGGCCAAGCAGACGCAAGAAAAGATGCTTGGCACCACTCATCGTCAGGGAAATACAGACCCAAAGCACAAGGAGACGTCACCTCACATCTGTGGCTATGGCTGTTACCAAAAAGACAAGAGATAATATGGGAGGATGAGATAATGGCGAGGATGTGGAGAAAGGGGAGCCCCTGTGCACGGTTGGAAGAAACGCAACCTGGTGCCGCCACCATGGAAAACAGCACAGAGGCTCTCAGACATTACAGACGGAACTACCACACTCTCTGGCAATTCCACGTCTGGGTACGTATCCAAAGGAAGTAAAATCAGGGTATCAGAGATGTGTGTGCTCCCATGTTTGCCGCAGCTTTTTTTTTTTTTTTAAGATTTTATTTATTTATTTGACAGACAGAGATCACAAGCAGGCAGAGAGGCAGGCAGAGAGAGAGGGGGAACAGGCTCCCCGCTGAGCAGAGAGCCCGATGCGGGGCTCGATCCCAGGACCCTGGGATCATGACCTGAGCCGAAGGCAGAGGCTTAACCCACTGAGCCCCCCAGGCGCCCCTCGCCGCAGCTTTATTTACAAAAGCCAAGACGTGGAAACAGGCCGTGTCTGCCTTTGGATGTATTGGTAAAGCAGTGCTGTCTAAAGGCGTCTGGGGGGTCAGTCGTTAAGCCTCTGCCTTCGGCTCAGGTCATGCTCCCAGGGTCCTGGGATCGAGCCCCGCATCGGGCTCCCTGCTCCGCGGGAAGCCTGTTTCTCCCCCTGCCTGCTGCTTCCCCTGCTTGTGCGCACTCTCTAATAAATAAAATCTTTAAAGGAAAAAAAAAATGAAATGCGGTCTGGAGATACCAGGGAATCCGATTCGGCTGTGAGAAAGGAAGCCTTTGAGGGCGTTACGCTGCATGAAACGAGTCTGACAGAGAAAGACAAACCGTCTGATCCTACTTCTGCGTGGAATCTAAAAACGCTGAACGCACAGACACAGTGGAGGGCCGGTTGCCAAGGGCTGGGGCTGGCGGAGACGGGGAGGTGCTGGAGAAAGGACCTGGAGCTGCGGCTGTGAGGCGAGTGAGCTCCTGGCATCGGACGCGTGGCTCAGTGACAGGGCCAGCGGCAGTGCCACAAGTACTTTGAGGCTGTTCAGAGAGGAGACCCCAAGTGTTCTCACAACGAAAAGAAATGGTGACTGCACGACGGAGGTGCTAACTAACCCACTAGAAGGGGGAAGTTTGCAAAACACAAGCGTATCCCATCATTAGTCTGTGCACAAACTCACACCATGTTAGAGGTCAGTTACGTGTCCGGAGAGCTGGGGTGATGCTCAGGGGCAGGGATGGGTCTGTCCCCTCGTCTTGCATCTTGATTTCTCGTCTTTGGAAAAGTGGTGCACTTTACATTTCCAGCCCCTCTGCTGTACTTACTCCCGACTTTCTACAGCTGTTGCTAATACAAACGAAACACTTTCCATTTCATCTCCAACTGGTGATTACCAACACAAAGAGAAGCTACGTGTTTTTCGGGATGTATGTTGTTTTCAGCTGGCCTTCAAGTCTCTTATTCTGTGATTTTCCCCTGGAGTCTCTTAGGTTTCAGGCC